CCTCTTTCACACTCCTCCCCCACCCCCCCTTTCACCCCCCTCCCCCTTTCACCCCCCCCCTCTTTCACTCCCCCTTCCACACCCCCCCTTTCACCCCCCCCTTTCCATACACCCCCTTTCATCCCCCCCTTTCACCCCCCCTTTCATCCCCCCCCTTTCATCCCCCCCCCTTTCATCCCCCCCCCTTTCATGCCCCCCCCTTCATCCCCCCCCTTTCACCCCCCCCCTTTCATCCCCCCCTTTCATCTCCCCCCTTTCATCCCCCCTTTCATCCCCCCCCTTTCATGCCCCCCCTTTCACCCCCCCTCTCACCCCGCCTTTCACCCCCCCTCTCACCCACCCCTCTCAAACCCCCCCTTTCACCCCCCCTTTTACCCCCCCCCTCCCACACACCCCCTTTCATCCCCCCCCCCTTTCACCCCGCCCCAGTGGGATGCAAGTTAAACAACAACAACCACTAGACAACTTAGATTAAAGCCATCAGTACACACGTGTGTGTGTGTGTACGCGCGCGTGTGTGTGCTATGCAGTGTCGCTACATTGCAGTGTCGCTACATTGCAGTGTCGCGACATTGCAGTGTCGCTACATTGCAGTGTCGCTACATTGCAGTGTCGCTACATTGCAGTGTCGCTACATTGCAGTGTCGCTACATTGCAGTGTCGCTACATTGCAGTGTCGCTACATTGCAGTGTCGCTACATTGCAGTGTCGCTACATTGCAGTGTCGCTACATTGCAATGTCGACATTGCTATTTAATGTCGCTACATTGCAATGTCGCGACATTGCAATGTCGCTACATTGCAATGTCGCTACATTGTTATTCAATGTCGCTACATTGCAATGTCGACATTGCTATTTAATGTCGCTACATTGCAATGTCGCTACATTGCAATGTCGCTACATTGCAATGTTGCTACATTGATATTCAATGTCACTACATTGCTGGTCAATGTCACTACATTGCTTCTTGTCGATGTCCTTACCTCATTGTTTAGCTTTTTGTACTTAGTCGCCATCTCATCCAATTCCCTTATCTTTAGCCTTATTTTTCTCTCTTCCTGTTCTACTCCAAAGGGTATTGCTGCTTTTATTGCTTGCTGCACTACCTTCTTCAGTACCACTGATTCTTTGCTGTATGCTCAGGTGTTCTATTTTTGCCCCTCCCCCCATGATTCTACTAGAAATTTCCTCGTCATATTTCCACTTCATGTCTGCTCGTTCTCGAGTGCCTCTATGCTCCCCTTTTCATGTTGCGTTCTGGATATTACGTTTTAGTTTTAGTCGCGGGTTGCATCGTACCAAGCTGTGGTCCGATGACGCATCAGCTCCTCGGTATGTTCTGCACAGTCGAACTGATCTTTTCCAGCGTCTGTCGATCATTACCAGATCCGGTGCTCTCCATGTGCATTTTTTGCAGTGTTTTTGTTTGAACGGAGTATTACATACGACTGTCATGTTTTGAAGCAAATTCTAGCAGATTAATTACGCGTTCCCATCTGTTGTTATCCTTCCCAATGTTTTGCATGAGTCCCCCACAAATATCTTAATATATCTTAATATTTGTCCTAGGCAGTCCCCTTCACGTTCTTTCCAGTGTCTCATTGAATTCTTCAATATTCTCTTCTGTGCTATCTGATGTCGGTGCATACATTTGGATGAAAGACATATTTAGAGGTTGCCAATTAAATCTCGCAGCAATTACTCTTGGACTAACCGGTCTGTATCCCAACAATGATACTTTCGCTTTTGTACTCAACAAGAACCCTACTCATCTGGTGTGCACTTTATTTTCCCCTGACCAGTTCTGAAGCGACGGGGCCACCCTGGGGAAGCGATGCGACCGAGCGGGTCCACCTCAGAGCCACGACGCTCTGCTGGCTCCGTTTTTTTTAATCTTTCGTTAAACATTGCCCTGACTCTGCACTCAATCAGCGTTGGGGCCTTTCAACTGTGGCCGCTGATTCCACGGTGGCAAGATGTTAACTTTCTCGCCTGGTATACAGGAGGCCTTGGGTTCGTTCCCGACCCTGATGGCTGCTGTAAATTTGGAGTTTGTCTCTTTCCCTGTGGTCGCGTGGAATTGTCTCTGGGTCTTCCGGTTTTTCCTCCACATTTGGAATCAACATGCGGCCACGGCTCCCCCGGGACATGTCGTGTACACACAGGCACGTACCATGCAATAACTTCCCAATACCTGCGCTCTGCGTCTGCACATCATGTAACGACATTGCCTCAACAACACATCCACTCTTATGCATCACGGATACTCTCCAGTGTTCCATTTGTTCCCTTCAGCTTACCGCTGGGCCTCCCGCTATATTTAAAATATTTGTTAGCCAGTGAGGCCGTGACGGGTTTTTTCAGTGCGTAATAGAGGTTTTTCTTGTTTGGGTTAGGCTTTGTGCAGCGTGGAAGTGTATTATCAAGTGATACACTGTTTAACTGCATGCCTATACAGGTACGTCGGTAATGATTAACTGTGAGCAGTCAATAACATGTATTGAGATTTTTTGGGGCCCAAAAACATGTACATACATACTATAAAAATGCATAATGTACATTATGTATGCTGATTACCTCTGAACAACCCAACCAATAATATATATCCATTGTAATTTATATGAATACATTAGCACCACGCACCTGATTGGCTCACAACTGATGACATCACATTTATTCCCCTTCTATTTAAGATCGAAACAGGAGGAGGATTTCTTCGCAATTCTGGCTGTCGCCTGATGATGTTGGTTGTTGTTGTAATTACCGGGCGAAATGTCACGGCACTCGAATTGTAAATGTTGTCGTGGGTTCACTCTCCAACACAAAACTGGTAAGTGCTGAACTAATAACTAATTGCCACGTTTTGTTTACGTGACAACTCTTACTAATTAGCTGTGTCAGGTGGTGGCGGGTTTAACGGCACATTTATATTTACATTATATAACCAAAATAAACCCCTCCATTATGGATACATTTGGTCGCGAAAGCCTATGTGGCATACGTACATACATTCGCACAGTTCGCTACGTATGGTACAAACATAAATACATTAGCACGGTTGGCTACGTATGGTGCGAGAGAAGTTCAACATACATACCGTACATAACAAATGCTGTGAGTACAGGCGACCCCCTCACCTACGACCTAATTGGTTCCTGGACGACGCCCGCAATGTTATAAATTGGAGTTCCGTTCCTGGAAACCCATTACATACCATTAAAATACCAAAACTTACCACGAAAACAAATGAAAATTACCTTTACAAACATTGATTAAGTAAAAACAAACACATTTGAACATTCTTAAGTACTGTACTGCACGTGCATCATATTTCCTCTTCTCAGACATAGCGAAAAGTTAATCTTTTCAAAATTTGAAGAAAATTGACGAAAAAAAGTGAAGAGCGTTGTGAAAGAGATGCTTTCGCTCTGGGCACAGCTGCAGACTGATGGGCTCTTGTACACAGGAATACGGCGGAAGAGCAAAGCAGCGCCATCGGACGACAAGTCTGCGCATGATGTGCATGGAATGCGCAGACTCGTCACCAATCGACTCGACGTCAGTAGCAGTCATTAGGCGATCGTAGATACGAGTTTTGGTCGTTACTTGTGGGGGTCTTACATACTATAAGAAACGTCATAAATGCCGGGGGCCGCAAGTCCAGCCGTGGTAAGTCGGGGGTCACCTGTAAGTCTGCATCTTTGCCTTGGAGGCACCGCGATGGCGGTGGTGGATTCGATACAGACCCTGATGCCTGCTGGATATTTGGAGTTTGCGGTGTCTCTCTCTCTCTCTCCCCAAGGTCGTGTTGATTTTTCTCCGGGTCCTTTGGGTTTTTCCCTCTCCACATTTATCATCAACGTGTTACGCGTTCAGAGTTATTTCGCTACTGCTATGAATATCCACATGATGATGATAAGCCACTTCGTTTAGCTATCATTTGTGGCCAGTTCAGTGGGCCATTACCTGGTAAAAATAAAACGAGTATTTAGTTTCATATATATAAAAGGGAAATTTGTGTATGTGTGTCTGTTCAAAATGTTTAGCGTACTTCCCGACATGCGTAACGCAGTGTGCCTACTCATGTCATGCATCCCCAACCCTCCGCGAGTAAAGTGGCATACAAATGTGTTGCAGGTCTAAGGCGTTCTTCGCGCAGCATTGGTTTATTGAGTCGTTTACTGCTGTACGCACCCTGAAAGTTGTGTGTGGGGGGAGCGGTAGTGTAGCGATTCGTGCGCTGCGCTACGAACCCGGCGACCCGAGTTCGATTCCCGCTCATGGCCACCACCGGTGACGATTATTTGAACCGGTCCTGGGCCTCCCCTAGGTCCACTTAGCCTCAAACGAGTAACTGGTGTGGTGTGTGAACATCGCCACTGGGGAGACAAAGGCGGCTGGGCGTGGTGAATCCAAGTCCCGGGCGAAGCCGGGTATGTTTTAGTTTGAACCACTCGCGCCCGCATCTCTGCATGAGAGCCCTTGGTCAGGAGGGTTACAGGACAACTATTGATTTCTGAGGGCTGCGAGAGTCGGAACCCCATGAAGGCCGTGGTATCTTGCCACGTTCACGGGAGGAGCGATAACACAGCGGTTAGCGCTGCCACACTAGAACACATACCCTGTCCGCGCGAGCCTAGCCTTACAGCAATGCTGAGTTTCCACCATGTGGGATGCGCGCGCGTGCGCAGGGCTGAGGGGAAGATAGCATAAGCAACTTGGGAGGTTTGAGGAAGAGAGCATTGGGAGAGCAGCGGGGGCTGAGGGCCGATTGGTGAGGCAGGCCGCCAAAGGGGAAAGAGAAGACCAAAGAGCAGATGTCAGACCTCAGAAGTCACAGCCAAGCTTAGCCACGAGATGAGCGTTTCCTGACAAACTCGCCAACCACTCGCACGTGTTTACCAGTTAACTCCCTGCCATCCCCATTCAAATACACACGCCGACAAATCGACCGCGGTCACTGCACCGGCCCCCCTCACCCCCCCCCCGCCCACCACAGGCCCCGCGAGAGCAGCTCGGAGTGCGACCCCGGACCATGACGCGCTCCGACACGCCCGACCTCATCGCCTCCGCCCTGCGTCGCCCCCGCGGGTCCCCGGGCGGCGCTCGCTCCGGCGCCTGGTCCGGCACCCTCGCCCCCTGGGCCTCCGAGCCGCCAACACCCTCGCGCCGCAAGCGATGCCCCGGCTCCGCAGCGGCCGCTATGTCTGAGAGCGCCGCCGCTCGGCAGCTGGCGCCAGCACCGGCGCGCCCCCAACCCAAGCCGCCGTTACCACGCCGGCCGCCCTGGATCACGCCGGGCCCGCTGTGCGCGTCCAGCCCCGAGCTGCCGACGCCGAGGTTTGCGTCGCGCCAGCCCGGACCGCCGGCGCCGTGGCCACCGCCGCCGATGGCGCCGGGGCCGCTCGCCGAGTGGCGCCGCTCACGGGCGCCGGCGCAGTATCTGACGCCGCTGCGCCGGGCGGCGGAGGAACGGGCGCGCGGGGCGGTGAGTCGCAGCACCGGCTCGCTGGCCACCAAGAGCCAGCTGTACGACATCCACCCCAGCAAGTACCAGACGCGGCATGAGCGGCCCTACCACCATGTGCCCATCCCGCTCATCCCTCGGGAAGTGGGCTCCGACCGCCGGCGTGGTGACTGGCGCCGGGAGCCGCCGACTGCCACGACACCATCACCAACATGGACGCCTCGGCGCGGCGTGCCGGACGCGACGCTCTCGGTGCACGAGCCCGGCCGGAGGGCACAAGCGGCGACGTTCACGTTCCGGTCGACGGGGACGCCGCTCCCCCCGTCCGATCGCCGGCTCGCCACGTCGGCCTCCAGCCTGACCGGGGCACCATCGCACGTGCGGCAGAGGATCGACCTCCACCCGCTGGACTCCACGCGCTACCGGTCGTCGCCGGCGCGCCGGGAGCAGCTGGTGCACTGGGCGCACAGCCACTCCGAGCCGCACATCCCAGCGAGCGCTAGCTACGTGCCGTCGCGCCACCTCTTGCCGACGCCGGCATACCTGGAGGGCCGACGCACGTCTGACACGGCGCTAGTGCCGACGCCGACTCCTCCAGCGCCCCCCACTCGAGGCTCGTCATTCTGGACATTCTCCCGATCGCTGGACAACCTCTACGCGTGCTTGGCGGAGCGCCGGCGTGGTGACGGCGCTCGCAGCCGTGAGGGTCGGTCGACTCCGACTCCGACTCCGCCACCACGCTCCGCACCGCCGCGCTCTGACCGCATCCCCGTGGTGCAACTGTCACGATCGCCGCGCCGCTACGCTGCCCTCTCGCTCTCCGAGAGCGCCATCTTCAGCAAGGCGAGCGGGCCCGGCTGGCGCCTTGCACCATCCATTACTATCACCGACAACGAGCTCTCGCCAGTGGGTGGTGGTGGCGGCAGCCGGTCAATGGAGGAGCTGCGCGGAGGTGACGGCGGCGCCAGCGTCGGCGGTGGTGCCACAGATTACTTGGGCTTCGGCAGCCTGGCGCTGCACAAGACGGTGTCACCGGCGTCGCCTGTTGCCAGCCAGGAGCTCGACGAGATCCTCACTGACATTGCGGTGCACTCCTCGCCGCGACTCTCCGACGAGTCAAGCGCGCAGTCCGACCGCTTCGCCCAGCAGCTCCACAGCCTCATTGACAGCGATGATGGCGGCGGTGCCAGCGGCCGGGAGAATGAGGCCGGGGAAGAGGAGGATGCGGAGGAGTACAGAGAGGAGAGAACAGCGGACGGAACTGGCCTAGCATGCCCGGCGTCCCCCACCAGCCGATTGCGGCACCAGCGCCTCTCCGAGGCAGCTGCACCGGCGCCGGCACCCACCTCGCTCTGCCGTCGCGTGCTGCGGCTGTGCCGTACCGACGCCGAGTCGCGCCGCGTGCTGTCGAGGGCGGCGCGGGTTGGGTATCTGTCCCGGGGGCGTGGCTGCCTCTTTCTGGGCTTCCCGGGTCCGGCGTCGGCGTCAGCGTTCCTGCGGCATGGCCTGGATGGCCTCCTGGTGTCGCCCGCCTACCTCTCTCTGCGCGAGATCCAGGCCCATGCACGGCGGCTTGGCGACTACGTGCACGGTGAGCGGAAGTGGCGGCAAGCAGGCGGTTGGCATCCTTGATTTGGGCACTCTGCGACTGCAACGTTCTCTCACACCTTGTTCTACAGACTCCGGCAAAACAACCCCCCTACCTCCTCGGAGGTGCCGGAACCTAATGTTGTGGTGAGCAATGCCATGGGGAAGGAAGGCCAATTTCATGGCACTTGTAGTCGCCACAGGGGCCAATGGGGGTTCTGGACAGGTGTGAGGGGCTGGAAACCCCTCCACCTTCAGTTTCATTACCACTAAACTACGTGGAAAAAATCTAACTAAACTTGTGCCGGAGGCCCCGGGGGGACAGGCGTCTATGATGTCTCCTGGCTAAACCCCATTTGGCGGAGCCAGGAGACTCAGCCCGTACTCTCGAAGTTCCTCCAGAAATGGCAAAAAGCCACTGTGAGTCACCACGTGGAATGTTCTAATGCTCACTAAAGAGGAGAGGCTGCCACTCCCTTGTCGGGAGCTGGACTGGTACCACCTGGATCTCTGGCATTCAAGAGGTACAGTGGACTGGCTCTGGCTCCTGCCACCATGATGGGTGAAGAGTCCACTCCTCGGAGGCGGAGACTGCTAAACAACAGGGAGTGACTCTTCTTCTGAACAAACTAATGAATGAGGTGTGGGTATGGTGGAGAGGTTTGGAAAACTGTAAGCCCCAGGCTACTGTGGACTTGCCTCCCAATAAACCGGAACCAAGGAATGGTGGAGGTGGTTACTTATGCCACCACCCAAGATGGACATCAGTGGAGGGATGAAAGGCTGATGAGTCAGATGCCTTCTTTGACCTGTCCCAAGTCCTTGCGAAAGTGGGGGATAGAGAGTCATCCTATTGGGTGACTTTAATGTTCGAGTGGGTCATGATGCAGGCACCTGAGCGAGAGTCAGGGATGCAACCTAGGGGGGTTGGGGGGTATGCATTGTAATGAGACACATAGGGGCCCAGTCGGCCACAAGGGGGCCCCGAATCAACAGATAAACAAGTTAAAAATGTTAAGAAAAGTTATTCACAATAAAATATTCCAACAACCATAACCCGCCAAAAAACATTGTTACAAATGAAAAAAGATATTTCTGAAATATACACAGCATAAAATTTATGAAGCGCTACTGGTGTGTGTTACTGAAGACAAGGATTTTTTGCTAACTTATATGCACATGAAAGCAAGACACATGATACTTGTAAGTATTGTACCTTTAAATATTTTTACGAATACTGTCACTGAGACTGTCTTCCTCTAAACCCAATACACAGTTCAACTCAAATAATAAAGTAGTCCCTCGGGTAATGTTTTTAATCTGTTCCACGAAAACTACTGTAAACCGAAATAACTGTGAATCTAATTCACTCATAAGTTGATAATATAATACGTAAAAATCACCGAGTCTGTAAGAGAGCTGTTTCCACTGACAAAAAAAAACGTTACAGTTATAATGTTAAAAAATAAGTAATATTAAAAAAAAACTTTGTTAAACGTGAGTTGAGCGTGGACAATTAGACCCAAGGCGAAACATAAAATATAAAAAAGAATGTAAAAAATATTTATTTATTATTATAGACTATAGTATTGTCGTCAGTATGACATAAGTATACCAAGTTTGCAGTCGATACCACATTGGAAAGTGGGTTCATTGAGTTACAAGATTTGAGGATACAACAACAGTGAGTAAATAGAAAGCGTGTAATAAAAAGCCACTCGAGGTCTCATCACTCATAAATGGGCATCGCTGATTGGCTGAAGCGATGGCTCAGCCCCATTTATGAGTGCTCGGATTGGCCGAAATTGGTACCCGCCTTCATAACGTAAACATACCATTAATCAACATCTTAACGTTAAATCGAAACCATGGGCTCCTATGGGAGGCGACACGTGAACAGACAAACTGTTAACTGATGTCACTGTTAACCGAGGGACTACTGTATATATAGAGTTATAGCCCACATATTATTGTAGACGGGTTAAAATATCTGTAGCTAATACAGTAAAAGTAAATCGGGAGAGAGGAGGGGGGTCTACAGGCGTATCTTGCATACCTCCCTTGAAATAGTCGTTGCGCCAGGTGGCTCGACTGATTGGAAGGGATAATAACGGTAAGAGGCTGTTCGACTTCTGTGCAGCCCATGGGCTTGTCATTACCATCACATTCCGGTATTGGCGCATCCCCACAACATCATGGGATGCACACTGGGTCAGAGCAAGAACGTCTTCTGCACTATATAGTGATGGAACAGCAGATGCGGGCCCATGTCCTTGACACCAGCACCTTCCGTGGAGCTCATCTTCCCACTGACTATATATAGTCTTGTCATCTGTAAGATGCCACTCCAGATACCACTCCAGCTGTGTAACACTGTGCAGAAACTACTTGGTCTATCCCACCACATGAAGCTTCTGGTTTTCTTGGTCATAGTCATGCCCTCCCTTCTAAATGCTAGAGAAAAGATGGACTGATATGGTTAAGGAGGGTATGGAGCTGAGTGGGCTTATCGGTGACTGCTGTCAGCAGTGTCAGGATCGGCCTCTCTGGAGGTGGCTCGTGAAGGACGCTAATGGGCAGTTGGAGGCAGATGCGGAGGCCAGAGGAGCAACGCTCACAACAACGAGCGGAGCGCCGGGCAGCAAAAAGCACCAAGTTGATATAGTACAGGACACAGGTGATGCATCTGCCAGTCGCCTCAGTGAGTCTCAACCGATGGCACCTGGGTCTGTGCCATAACATCCTGCCAGCGGGCCTTCGACACTTCACGTGGCCTCAAAGTGCACCCAACCTGGCCCACACGCTGTGATGACATAACCACTGCTGAATGGAAAATGGCGGTTGTTATTCAGTGTGTAGGTTGTGTGTTCTCCAGCCCCAGATATTTTAACCCGCCTAGGAGGCTGTGTGTTCTCTCCCCCTGTTCTACAGAGAGAGAGAGAGTGAGTGCAGGTTGTGTGTTCTCTCCCTCTGTTCTGCTTGGATTTCCTCTGGGCTCTCTGGTTTCCTCCTCCCATAGCTAAACCCACACCAACAGTGGAACTGGTACCGAGCCAAAACTACATCCGCAGTTCTGAAATATTAACCTGGAGATTACTCGACAGGGATCACGCACAGCAGCATTGCTCCCTGACTGTGGAAACTGGACAGGACACCATGAACACAAACTTGAATCAATCTGACCGACATTTGCAGCGATGCAGTGATGGACGCATTTAAACCAGGCAGCTGCTGGCAGCCACTCACAATTCCTCAAGTGTATTTTAGGTGACCTAAGACACATCTCGACCATTACATTCACACACACATGTTGTACCGTTCTTAATCCTCTGTAAAGCGCCTTGGTTAATAGATGCCATATCATTGACGTCAAGATAAGATCTCCTAGCCACCGTAACCCCTTATGATGCCTACGAGGGTCTCCCGGGTGACCGGGTCATTTAGGCCCCCAGCCCCAAGGCAAATCGGAGTCCGCGGCTCTCTCCCTCCGCCTGTGCGGGCGCTGCACCTCACGCTGCATTTATTTTGCTGCCCTTGGTTCTGTTTTATTCACCGAGGGTTCGTTAAGGGTCGGGTTATTTGCTGCAAAGGAGCTGTGAGGGCCCTGCTGTGGTGTGCCGCGGTGGTTGATGTGTTACCTCCCTCGCCTGGTATGGAGGAGTTCATGGGTTGGATCTCGACCCTGATGAAGCCTCTATATTTGGAGTTTGCATCTCTCTCTCCTCGTGGATTTTTCTCTGGGCCCTCCTGTTTTTTCCCCTTCACATTTAGAATCAACTTCATGCGTTTAGAGTATTCGGCTACTATACATTTCCACGTGATGGTAAGCCACTTTGTTGTGCTATTATTTGTGGCCAGGTCGCTTCTAAAAAAAGAGCTACGTAGCTCAGTGGACCTTACTTGGTAAAATAAATATACTCTTTGGTTTTTTCGGTAAAGTCACGTAGGTAAAATTAAATAATTAAATTAAATCACGTTCTGGATGCAACACAAGCTTCCGTCTTCAGGTGGAACAGTCACAGCAGAATAGCTGTACCAAAAAAATAAAATAAATATAGTTTAGTTTTCGTATGGGTCTCGATGGGTATTGTTCTCTATGGGTCTCTGTGGTTCTATACGAGTCCCTGGATCTCTGTGGGTCTTTATAAGTACGTGTCGCTGTGGATCTGTATTTGTCTATGGGTCTCTGTGTGTGGGTCTGTATGGGTCTGTATAAACATGCGTTGGCAGCATTTGGCTGCCATAACGGAGCTTTATAGCTCAGCGGGCCTTACCTGGTAAAATACAAAAAATAGTTTAGTTTTATCGTCGTGCAGCTGTTAGCGCACTTGCCTGTGGTGCGACGACTCCGCTACCGAGCCTCGGTACGAGCACCGACCTCTTCACGGAAGAAGGCCATGGGCCTCACAGCATGCACCCCTGCCCCCTCACTCTGCTTGTAGAGCTGCAGACTGCTGGCTCCGAATATGACCCGGACTCGCGCTTCGTGCTCAGCGTGAGCGTCTCGGCGCCCGCTGGGCCGCTCACCGCCCGCCGCCTCGCCAAGATCCGGCTGGCTCCGGCTACGACGCCACCGGCGCTGCCTCCTCCGTCGTCGTCCCCCTCCTCCGCCGCAGCTGCCTCGGCGTCCGACACGCTCATCCTGACGCCGCCGGCCGGTGCTGGCGACGGGGAGCGCCCCGGCGCTGAGGGCCGTCGCTCCCGGGAGTTGGCGCTCACATCCATTCAGCGGGAGCTGCGGGAGCGAGGGGTGTGCTTGCGCCGGGACCACCCGCGGCACTACGCGGCGCTGTGCCGCTACGTCGAGACGGGTAGTCGCCCGCCGCCCGCCGCCATTTACCCGCTGGACCGGCGAACCGGGCGCCGCTTCCTGTGCCTCCTGCTGCCGGCGTCCGAGCCGCTGGCGCTGGGCTGGGTGGACAGCCCCAGACTGCTGCGGGATCTGCTGTGACGGCGCTGACCCACGTGAGGGGAAAGGAAAAACCGGGCGGCGATTGGCGTGGAGACCGCGGCCCCCGTTCACAACTCTGGCGGTTCCAAATAGCCTGGGATGCATCACAGAAGATGTCACGATACTAAAGGCAAAGATCCCCCCCACCCGTATATGATGAAAACATTTTTACTTGCGATTTTACCCTTCCTGCAAATAAAACATGAGTTGTGTTAAGATGTTCAAACACCAAATAGATACACCTATTGCAAGGCGTCAAGTCTGCATTAGCGACATGCACTTGTGGCAAAAACATGCAAACAAACATGCTCTTCTTATTTTTCATAATTTTTAATAATGGCAAAAAGGTCCCATAGATATGAATGCTCGACCAAGCCATACGTGCTCTGATACGTGCATTGTCTTTGTACTGTTCGTCTTTTGGCATTCTCTGGAATTACATTAGTGTAGGAACTAGGCCACAAAGAAGGCTATCTCTAGTGTAGGCCAATTAGTTTCAAGGACAATGTGTATATCATTTGCAGAGCATGTGTGTTTGCGTGTTTTGCCACAAGTATGCGTGGTTAATGCAGACTTGATGCCTTGCAAAAAGTATATATTTGGTGTTTGAACAATAGTAACACCTGTTTTTTTTCCAAAAAGGGTAACACCTATTCTTATATTTTTGGGGTCTTTCGGTAGAGTCACAGAGATAGGTTCAAAGAAAATAAAAAAATAGCAAAAAACTATGACGTTTCGATCGCAACACAAGCGGTCGTCATCAGCAAAAGGGGTGTTAGCTTCTAAAGACACAACTGTTTATAAAGATTTGAAATGGGGTAGCCCAATTGTCAGCAGCCAACGTTAATGTAAGTTGTGGGCAGCGACTGCGACGGTGGTGGGTTTTCCCTCTAACTAACCCCCCTTTTCCTGATGACGACCGCTTGTGTTACGATCGAAACGTTGTAGTTTTTTTCTTTGAACCTATCTACGTGACTTTACCGAAAGACCCAAGAATATGAATTCCTGCAGTCATGAAAGCTTTAAGTCAAGATTGAACCTATTCTTATTTTTCAGCATTTTTTTATGCTGGCATAAAGGTCCCATAGATATCCCCTGTATACCCTCAATAGCCTGTTAGGGCAATTGCTGCTAGTAGCGAGTATCAGCGCCTATGAGGGCCGGAGTTGGCACATGAGAGGGGTGGGTGTCCAACACCACGCCCGACTGCCTTTGTTTCCTCAGTGGCAGATGCTCACACACCGGCCTGGGTGCTAATTTGAAGCTGAGTCCACCTTGGGGAGGCCCAGGACCGGTTCAGATAATGGCCACTGGTGTTGTTTGCCATGGGTGGGTATCGAGCTCGGGTCGTTGGGCTTTTTTTCATCGCAGCGTGCTACCGTTGCACTGCTGCATCATAATTCATATTTTGATCATTATTATTACACAACTGACAACCTTGATCCGGCATGGGAAGAGAAGACCTCACAGCAGATGGTGGGACACTGTCAGGGAAGATCTATATGTCTGTGAGTCTGTGGATCTCTGTGTGAGTCTGTGGGTCTTTGTGTGAGTGTTGGTCTCTGTGTGAGTCTGTCGGATCTCTGTGTGAGTCTGTGGGTCTCTGTGTGAATGTCGGTCTCTGTGTGAGTCTGTGGGGTCTCTTTGTGAGTCTGTGTGTCTCTGTGCGAGTATGTCGGTCTCTGTGCGAGTATGTCGGTCTCTGTGCGAGTATGTCGGTCTCTGTGCGGGTATGTCGGTCTCTGTGTGAGTATGTCGGTCTCTGTGTGATGAGGCTGTGAGGGCAGCTTCAGGATCTTGTGGAGGGTGGTTAGTGGTGGCATCTACATCTTTGACGGAGATGACATCTTCACTTTGATCTTGAATGTCCTGGCACGACTTGACAGATTTGGTCGGATGAGAAACAATTGCCTCGCTCAACAAGAGGTTGACTCTGTGAAAACCCAAGGACACAGAAGGTAACACTCCCTTCCGGGGCTGTGGTGATGAACCCATTCTGGATAGGTGCATGTCCTGTTGCTGCTGCTTCCTCCCACAAGAACGCAAGCACTGCAAAGGGATGCAGAGCGGTGTGGAGAGAGAGGCGTGCTGAGATAGGAGGAAGCGGAGCACGCGGGTGCGGGGATGCACTCAGGTTTTGAGAGCCCATCACACGGGACTATCAGGGGAGTAGTAGACAGGATTGGGGTGGGATTGGGCAGTGCGCGTCGTGGCTCCGGTGGCTAGGAGATGTTAACTACGTCGCCTGCTGGAGGTCGTGGGTTCGATCCTGACTGACGCCTGTTGTATATTTGGAGTTTGCGTGTCTCTCTCTCCCCCCGTGGTCGCGTGGATTTTTCTCTGGGTCCTCCAGTTTTTTCCCCTGCATATTCAGAATCAACGTCAAGCGTTCAGAGTATTTGGCTGCTAGTTTAAATTTCCACGTGATGATATGTCACTTTATTCAACTATCATTTGTGGCCAGGATGCGTTTGAAAAAGAGCTATGTATCTCAGTATTGAGTGAGTCTTACCTGGTAAAAAAAAAGTCTGTTCTCCTCTAATGCTGCATGTTTTCATAATGCGATGTATCTATTAGGGAACAAAATCTTTATAACGTGGATGCAAATTGTATATAACACGATTGAGCAAACAGAACTGCGTCGCGCGAGTAGGAATAAGCGGTCGTGCGGCTGCCTGGGTGTAGCATCGTAACACAAAGCGGGATGCTGCTGGATGCTTCTAGTTGCTACCCACGTGCCTCGCTCTTCGTTCGGCCTGTGTTACGCATCTCCCGTTATCGCGGACTGTGTTTCACCCCCCTATATTTTATATTATTTATTATAATGCCATTTTTCCATAACGCAGTGCTCTTCAGGAATGGAACTACAACTCCTGCCGCCACGTTATAGGAGAACACAGACTGTACTTAGGATTGGAAGGGGAAGGCTCGTGGAGAGGCAGAACGAGCAATGGTGGCCTCCGCATCCAGCAGCGGATAGTCCGTAGCTGACGGTGGCAAATGCTGAAGCTTCTCGTGGCGATCGGAGAGGGAGGGTTCATCCCCTGGGCGCGATCGCTGGCGGTCGTGTCGGAAGACTTTAAACGCGCCTATGATTCCTAACTGCGGGGAGACCCGCGGGCAGGTGACAACATTCACGAAGGGTCTACACTTCACTGATGATCCCTCATCGGGGGTGGGACTGACACGCATCAGACACGGCGTTTCGCCACGTAAACTGGTTTGGAAACGCCCACCCTTCCACGGCGGTTGGACATCTTGGATGGAAGAGGTGGTATTTCATCGCATCTAGCCCATCCATACGCAAACCTGCCGAATGTAGATTAACTATTGTGGATCGCGCTCATGCGGCTGAGTGGACAGAGGCTACGACGGGAGATTCGAATCAAAATCTTGATTGAGACTGCAGGAGGTGGATGGATTCCAATGAGCTATGAAGTTTTTTGTTTTTTTACAAATGTCCGGTATGGGGTACGGGCTCAGCAAGTTGCACAAACAAACACAAACACAGGTGTGGGAAATAGAGAAAATGTGAAAGAGTCATGAATATATATAACCTATATAAGTAGAAATTTCATAAGTACATGTACTTATGAAATATGTACTTGCCAATGTTTCTATACTAAATACAAGCTTGAGGCAAGGCAGTAAAACAACAACAGTCCCAGACCACACCAAAACAACAACAGTCCCAGACAACACCAAGACAACAAAAATAGCACGGTCGCTCAATAACACAGTGACACAAAGATGGAAATGGCGCCGACACTCAGCCGTCGCGCCAGCTGCTCCCCCGCTCTGCGTACGCGACGTACGGATGGTGCTGCGCTTGATAATGACAATGTTATGCAGGCATACCTCGTAGAGTGCTCAGGATGCGTTCTTGGTAAACGCAGCGCTGTACGAAACAGTATTATAGCAGGTCACTTAAACATGGTTCCAATGGGAATGCGTTCTCGACAGCGCATTTTTTGTTTAACTATGAGCGATATATGAGGGCTTCATTGGGGCATCGGCAAGGGCCTTAATAATGATAGGTAAACATGATAAATGCATGATAGCATTTATTATTGAAAATAGTAACTTTTAATGACGTGAAAAAAAGTAACTTAAATACTCACCAGCGCATTTGGTCGGAGTTTAAATAAGATTAACCATCGCCTACTATATGGTGGATCGTGTGGTACAGAACCTACTACTAGTAGTAGTAATAGGTTCTACTACAAGAGATGGGATGGTGGATCGTAACGTGGTACAGAACCTACTACTAGTAGTAGTAATAGGTTCTACTACAAGAGATGGGATGGTGGATCTTAACGTGGTACAGAACCTACAATTAGTACTACTACTAGTAGTAGTAGGTACCACTACTAGTAGTAGTCCTAGTCGTAGTACATACTAGAACTGTGCAGTAGCACCTACGACTACGAGGATTACTTCTAGTAGCAGGTACTACTACTACATCAGTGTGAAGCTAATAGCTCAGTGGGCTTTACCTGGTAATAAGAAAAAAATGGGAAATTCCACATTCCTGTTGCTGGGGCACATTTATCCACCGTTTACTTACTCCACAAAGTGTTAATTATTTTATTGACCCTAGGAGATGATGGGCTGAGTCAACCCCCCAATTAGGTGGACACTCGTCCAGGTTTGACCCGGTATGGTCCAGGAAGTGGTGTCTGTGTTCGTGTGGCGGCATCCATCGAATTGTACCCAGGTCTGTCACCGTCATCGCTGTGCTCAACTTGATTGCAGGCACTGCGCAGTTATGATAACAGACCACCTCGTGCTGACAGAAATATACTGACGGGTTTAGTATGTAGTGGAAAAGGTGGAAATCCTACCACACACGTGTTGAACTACTCACCCACCCACTCATCGACACACTCGCCCGCCCACTCAACCAACTACCTACCCACTCACTCACCCACTCATCGAAACACTCGCCCGCCCACTCACTCAACTACCTACCCGCTCACTCACCCACTCATCAACCCACGCATCCACGCATTAACTCACCCGTTCATTCAATCACCCACCCACTCAGACACTCACGCATCCACTCTCTCAACTACTGACTCCTCTACCCACCCACCCATTCATCCACTCATTTACTCACCTTACTCACCCCCTCACATGCCCCCCCTCCACCCATTAACTCACCTAAACCCATCCACTCGCACTTTTGATAGACCAAGCTGGCTGCTCTGTGGTGGACAATGTGTAAACCAGAGTCCCCAACCAGGATGTGAACTCGCAACCTTCCGATTGTGAGCCATTCGCTCTACCACTCAGCCAAATGGCAGGGTATATATTTATGAAACCGCATCTGTATATATCTATATAACGCTGCGTGTAATCTCGGAGTGATATTACTTCCTCCCCCTCCCACGGCTTTGCTTTGCTTGTGGCATCTTGAGAGCCAGTCCAGGTGTGCAAAGGATGCCCAGGTGCGGACTGTGTCCAGTCAACCGCAACGTCGTCAAAGTGTGACTTGAGAGGGGCATGTAGGGCAGTTCATGCCGCTCCTAGTTACTTCACGCCTCGTCTGAATGGAGGATGTGTAAAACCTGTCAAAAGCCATATTTACACTTGGACGGGAAGCATGTACAACGG